GTTTCAGCAGCCAGTGACAAACCTCTGCTTTTGTTATAAATGTAGATTAAAGCAATAGTGAGGTCTTTTTAGACACTGTGGACAAAAATGTGGCAGAAATGCCACAGAAACGGGAAGTATGGGAGTAATCATGCACATTCACATCCTGCATGTGGGACACAACCTCTTGCAGACCTTTAATTTTAACAAAGACATGACAAAAGGATGCATTGGTTTGTTCTACCTTGCCTTGCTGTTCTGTCAGTCTACATAAGTAGCTTTGGGTTAAAGAAAAACATGGACTATGAATATATACTGCATGTGTGTAATTAATAGCATCTGAGGCCACTCGCTTATATATTAGCAGCACTCTTTTAAATACAAACCTATACTTTTAAGAACTTGGCATCAAAAAAACAGGCAGTCTGGCTTCATGTGTAAGTTTGCATAAGGAGAAAAGTCATTAGTTGGCCTTCCTCAGCCCAAGCGATCTCTTACCTGGCAAAGCTAAGGCTATAAAACATTCAGGGCAGGCACACTTTGTATCCTAATCATCCCTGTGCAGTGATGCCCTCTATGTGTGAATTTCCTTTATCCAGGACTGAATACCTGAATGCTTCATAATTTCTAAAATAAGTGAATTACCCACGACTATGTATTTCTAGTCTGCATGTATGGCAAATCCCAAGGCTACTGTTATACAAATAATGCAACAAATACAACAGTGGATATTACTAGTATGTATAAATGTATTATATTAATAGCATATATTCACAAATATTAAACAGTGCATGAATAAAATGTATATTTAGAAGTTTTTCTATCACCTTGCATATACAGATTGGTCATAGGAACTGCAGTACTGAGTACCTTTTTATGTATGGGACAGATTCTATAGTAATTGCACCTGCTTAACACAGGAAAGTAAGTAAAAATAGTGTTTTAAATCAAAGTTACATTTTAATTACGTTCTTTCTGGATCTGCAGATCTGCAGATTTCTGATCCCACAAAGGCTTATCCGTATGTTTAGTTTTACACTTAGGAGTAAGAATAGTGAAACTAAGGTACAGAAAAATCAGCCTTTGCAGAGACTATGCTGATAGTCTTGGACTTTATCACTTAGAGGCCTAGAGGCTTACTGGTCCTCATTTACAACAGATTTTTTGCAGGATGCCCATCATAGCAGCAGCTGTTCATCCTCTATTCCAGTAAACACCACGGGGCCACCAGATTCTCTGTTCCTCAATGTAATTATCATTTTATTGTCTTACTGCTGGATGACGTTTCAGCCTCTCCTTGGGCACTTCATGCTCCTGCTGCACTCCAGTGAATTCTGGCAAACAGCGGATATGGGAACAGGCTCTCCTGGTGATGAAGATGCAACACGACAGTGTCTTGAAATGTCATAGTGTCAGAGAGCACTCTGAGGTACCTCGTACATGACCGTAATATTTTTGTGGCTTTACTAAGAGTGCTGAATAACATGAGTAGTATTTTGCCTTATAAAGAAAAATACAGTAGGCAACGGTGAAACAGGTAACCCACACAGATTACTGATGACAGAATAAAGAGAAGATTCTTCTGTGGGAAGAAACACATCACAGTGCGTTTTCAGGTACCAAAAACAGAGGGGCAATAAAGAGTATCTTTTAAGTGCACTAAAAAGTATCTTTTAAGTGCTATTACACAGAAGTTGCTGTCACAAAGCACAGCGTTTCTTAATGAGTTGTAGCACCGTCTTGAGAACTTCTTCCTTGGAGGGGCTGGCATCAATCTCTTGGCACGCAGGATTTGCCATCCTTCTGTATGACTCTTCAACTCTATTTAAAAACAAAACAAGAGAAATGAAACTACAAATTGCAGGGATATAAAACAGCATTAGTCACCAGTCTCGGAAGAAAATGTTCGCGCTGCAGAATGAAATCTACTGCAAAGAGCAATAAAACATCAGTAACTGTTACAATGCCAACCTCAAAGGACATAGTTTTGTTGACACTGATTCCCAGACCTCTATCCATATTCACCCGGCATGGCATTAAAGTATTTCTTTCTTTACAGCTTAGCACTAGACACAGTCTGGTGTAGCCGTAGAGCAGACAGCCTGCTTCCAGCACCTGAGTTAATTCATGCAGAGCCCCCTGGTGTCTCTGAACTATATGGCATGGATTTGTGTAGGTGTGCTCACTGACTGATCTCAGCTTCCAGTCACTGCAGAACTGGATTACAGAGCTGACATATCGTTTAACCCTTTCCTCTGATCTGTTTTGCTAACTGGATAAATACCAGGATGAAATACAGGATGAAAATCTCCTCACTTAGATTATAAGCCTTTTCATAATGCAGAACCCTCTCACGTTTAGTCCGTGAGGATGTGAATGAGAATGTGAATATAATTTTCTATGTTCCACAAGAACTAATAATGCCAAACACTCAGGCCACAAGTTGTAAGATGAATCAAGCAAGATTCTGAATGTCCTCACATCCAGGCTGACGCAATTAACACACAGAAATAACCCAAGGCTTTCTGACGGGAATAAGAAGTAACAGAATTAAAACACAAAAGATTCTTAAATGGCAGCGTGTTCCCTTAGCTCACCCATCCCTCTGCAGGTCCCACCACGTGAACCGTGTGTCCACACAGAGCTCCTGTCAGAATTACCCAATGGATATTTTTAAGGTATAACATCACCAGAAATGTTAAAACCCTAGAGGTAGATATTGGCTTTGTGATTTGTAGATACAGACACCAACATTCAGGTGTCTATACTGAGGTATCTACACAAGTACCAGGTATTTAAGTTTCCACTGTAGACAATGATGATCTAATCCATACGTTTGGTAGAGCCGAGACAGCAATTCACTGCACCCTGAAGTAGGATACCTACAGTGCCATTCAGTTGCCTAAGCAAATGTATCTAGCACCGCTTGAGATGCCTTGAACTATCTCATTTAGCTTCCACTTACTGGTCCAGAAAGGGCCCACAGATTCTGTATCACATCTGCCAGCCTCATGCAGATGTCTCGGATCATATCAAATGGCTCTAGATACTTATGCTTAGATCACTGGGCTCCAAGCGAGTGGCAAACCAAGTCACTTTGAAGGCTCCATCAAATGCATTGACCTGAAACACTTAGCACAACTAAAGACATCTACAAGAGGAGATCTAAATCTGGAGCTCAATTCCAGACTTTTCTGGGGAAGCTACGTGTTTCAACTTCTTGCTTCCCAGTTCTGGAACTTTTAGGTCCCTCTGCTTCATGACCTCAATAAGAAAGGTGCTACAATAAAAGCAGCAAGTGACAAAATACAAGTATTTTAACTCAAAGCTCCTTTGCAGGAGAATGCAGATCTTCACTTGCAGCTTTCAAACACTTTGAATCAGAAATGACAGAATTCACCCTCCTGTCAGCTATGAATCCTTGGGACATTTTGCTACTGATCCCACAGGAGCCAAGATTGCCTCCATCCTCTTATTCCTCATCAAAGTGTACCTTCGGCGAAACAAGCAGTTAGCTTCCAGCTCAGCTTCCTCCTTTGTTTTCTCCAGCCCCCGATGCTGAAGTCTCCGGACTCGCTCCTCAGGGTCAACAGTCAGGAGAAGAACGAGATCAGGTTTAAGCAGATCTTCAGGCCACTGGTACACCTCATCATGAACCGGTGGAAGATCCTGGACTTCCCCATTTATTTCAGTGGCAATTGTGTAGGCAGCTGTGCTGTGCCAGTATCTGCCAGGAAAATACAGAACAGAGAGGGAAATTTTAAAAAGGACACTAATTCTTCAGTAATGTAGGAGATGGGTGTCAATATAATGACAAGTGCAATAATGACTCAGTAGGTAACACTGTGATTTTGAGGGGAACTGTAAAGAACAATTCTGTGTCATACGTTTTTTCATAACAGATCAATAACATTCAATGCAATATTCAAAATTACTGTGAATTATTAATTAAAACATATGGCAGAAGCTGCACACTAGGCAGAGTATTGCAGATACTCCTATTAAAAGAAAGTATTCTTATATAGTGAGAGGTCAAAAGAAGAGTTACGTTATATGTCAAAATCCAATACTCAGAGTCCCTTTTTTGTGGTTCCCATACTACTTCATGCAACAGATCTGGCAGAGATCATGCAGTCTTCACATGTGAATGAAGACGGGCTTTACTAATAGTTATGGATTTCACTTGCATTTAATGTTCCCACCACTATGAGGCACTGTATTTTACAGATTTATGTGGTTTTGAGGCTGGTTGAAAATGGCACTCACGCATATGCAAATAACTTCTGTGTACGTGTGTTGTGGCAGGAGGTTGCAGTAAAACTACTGACACAAGCCAGGGGCTTCAAAGTGCACGTAGACTTTATTAAGAGTAATACCAAAAACTGCCTACACAGCGAAAACAAGAATTGATGTAAACAAAACAAAAAAAAAAAAAAGGGAAGCATACTAACTGGCTTTACACCCTCAAAGAGTAAGTCTACCTAAAACTCCGTTATTCTAATCCACCCCATATCTCAGACCCTTCTTAGAGACAGCCATTACCAGCAGCCCTCATTCGCCTCAGGCTTGTCACAGAGCCCGGCTTTGGCTGAAGCTGCACAGTCCACACCTCCACTACTCCTAACTGAAGATATAACACTTCCCATGTGTGCTAAAGGCAGTTATAGGTATTACACTGATGGAAGTCCCCCACCTTACTGTTATCATAAGTAATGCTCTTCAGAAGACTTAATATTTATCTGACTACCTGCAATGTAACACTTCTGAAAAAAAAAAAAAAAAGAAAAAAGAAGAAACCCAGAGACTACCATTGATGACTTCTGCTTTTAACGCTGAACAACTGTATGATGGCACTGATATAAAAGAACTTCTTAAATATACAAACCTGTCTATGATCACAGGTGCCTGAGTGGATGCTTTTGCTATTTCTGAAGCAAGAATGTAGTTGCCCGCAGCATAAAATGCTCTTTTAATGGGTGCTGGCTCATCATCAAATATTGTCCTCCACTGGCTGATGCAAGCTGGTGGAGACCTTAGCAGAACGCCATTCAGGGTGTCCTTGACAGACTGGGTTACAGTAGTTTTGCCTGTATTTCATTTACAGAAGGAAATATTTGTTATATTGCATATCAGATACAAATGAGTTTTAAAAACTGAAAAATGCTTCTACCTGTTCGCTTGGAGCACATGTTCTGACACTTGACTATGTAACGTGAGTATCTTGTGATAAGGTTTTCAGTGGAAAATCATTATGAGTCCGGTTCCAGGAATTATTACTCCACTTCCTACTCTCAGGGCCTTTCTCCCCTGCCTCTTGCCAGCTTTTTGTCTTCACTCCTTTAAATGTATTAAAGTGCATTAAATGGCAATTTCTATATATATTAATTTACAATACTTTCCTAGGTGACAATTCTTGTGGATGTTGCAATGCTGTCACCCAATACTTGATTTTTAGAGGGCCTTTCCAGTTCTCTTTAACTGATAATAGAGAAAACAAAGTTATTCAGAGACAACTAATATTTCTCTCTGAGACAAACTGCTGCCAGTTTCACAGGTTACCACTGCTTTAGTTCACTTACTTGAAAACTCTCCGGTAAAAGTATGTTTCATCATCTGCACCAGAAATTTAATTTCCAGGACTCCACTCTTTGTGTTCTTTCATTTACACAGATAAGGAATTCATCCACTGAATGAAAATTAGCATGGACCATTTGATCTTTTACAAGTAAGAGAAGACGGACTGGTATTTAAAACTACTAATTCATAGAATCATAGAATAGTTAGAGTTGGAAAGGACCTTAAAGATCATCGACTTCCAACCCCCCTGCCATGGACAGGGACACCTTCCAGTAGACCAGGTCGTTCAAAGCCCCATTTAACCTGGCCAATTATTTGAAATATGTCACGTTTTCAGGATATTTATTTAAAAAAAAATAAAAATTTAAGCCTTATGCCTGGCTGCAAGCCATAGCGGTTGCTCTTCCCCACAATTCCTCATCCGTGGTCCTTCACCCCGCACACCCCTCTTACCTGTGGCATCCAGCCCCTCAAAAACCACGACGGGAAAACCTCCCTTCTTCTGGTGCTCGGGACATTTCTCCAGCAGGTCGAGTACTGCTCCAGCCTCCGGGATGCGCCCTGCGCACTGCAAGGAGACACGGGCACCCTTCACCCCCGCCCGCCCCATCACCGCAGGGCAAGCCCCCCCCTCCCCCCGAACCCCGGGTAGGGTCTCACCTACCTCCCGCAGGCGGCGGCGGACGGCGGGGGCGGTGGGCGGCA